ACATATTCATTTTTACATATTTACGTGAAATGGAAAATGCTCATTCTGTATAAATGGAAAGTAATATTCTATCTATTATCACTGATGAATCAAATCTTGAAATTACAGTGTATATTAATCTCTAAAAAAATGTTCAAGTTCGTAAAAGTGAGTCATACAGAATTCAATTTTGAACGTGCAGATAAATAATGATTAAAAAGAAATTAATGTAGACAATGTATCGTTTAAAGAGATAAGCTGGAACTTCCGTGTTTAGTATACGGCGAATTGCGATGTAACTAAATCGATACTTTATTTTGTTTCTTCCGCTTAAAGAGACTGTTTAAGCGGAAGGTATACGCTCGTGCACGATGGGTGCTCTTCTTTATTGGCGCACGATGTCGCTTATGGAAAAAAAAGAGAATGTGGAGCGCTTATTATCCGCGGTCATCACACGCTCGGCTGCCGCTTAGTGGAACGGGACGTTCTTTCGCGTTGCATGCGTCTGATATGCATAGACGAGCAAACGATGACAACGACGACGACGACGATGACGACGACAGAGACGTGGCTGACCGCGAGTATTATCATAAGAGAAGCGCACACTGCCCGATTCCAACAAACTAATCGCTGACCGTTTTAATGCGCCGTTTCCTCCTTCTTCCTTCCGTCCCCTCCTAATTCTCTTTGGGTCCTCTCAATGATAGAGCAGACGCACGACTCACGCGACGTCGCTCTAGCGTGTCCGCAAGATCGCAATGTATTTCCGAGCGAAGGAAATTCTAGGCGATGTTCTCTGTATATTCGCGTGTGTGACAGTATGCATGCGTATGTATTTCCACCTTGGCTAGCTAGAGGAAAGAAGGAGAGAGATGGAGATACGTTTTATGGTGCAAACGAGAACCGCATTGGCGTTCTCAACCATGAGTTGTCTCGACCCCTCGACGTTCCCCTTCTCCGTCCTCGGTCTGCACGTAAAAATCTGTTGGCGAACGTGGGGCGTGGTTACGTGGGAGAACCTTCTCCCCTCGTTCCCTTTGGGATTTCCCCTTATGTTTCTCACTTCCTCTTCTCATCTGTCTCTCTTTCTCAATTTAACTCCGCTCTTTCCCACCGTCTCTCTCCGTATCTCCCTTTCTTTGTCGCTTTTTTAGTCTCCATCTTTTTCCCGTTACTAGTGTCACCATTTCTCGCCTGTCTGCGATGATGAAATGAGACTTTTCTCGTTGTCTCTCAATTTTGCGTCTTTTTTCCCCTGTCTATTCGTTTTGCATTGTATCTATATTCTTTTTATTTATTATTTTGCGTGCAATACTCTAAGAATATATCTTATTATTATAGAATGTACAATAAATACTACTCTACTATTCACTTTCAAATTTTTAATTTACTATTTTTGTGATTCTTTTTGTTGGTCGTTTTTTACAAGTTTTTTTTAGCTGTACACTCAAATGCGCGCGCGCGTTTTATATTTTATATATATATATATATATATATTTTTTTTTTTATCTTTTCTATTTTTATCTCTTCTTAT